ATACTGACAGTGTCCAAATAAGTATGGTACATAGAAGAAGAGAGTTTACTTCAAATACTCTGGTCTCACTATCAAAGCTAGTTGGTGAAAGCAGATAGTACTGCTTTATGGCCTTAACATATTTCCATTGTATTGGGAAGATCATCTGAGTGAGAAAAACATGCATTTTTTTTTTATCTCAACTTGATAGTTAGAATCAAATTGATTTATAACTCTCTTTCCAATTTCATGTTGGCTAATCTTTTGAGTATGACTTGGCTTCTCATATAGGTTAACCAAGAGAGTGACTCATGTAGTCTTTGAGGGTTGTGGTCCTTTTTGTACTATACATGGAAAACTGGCATTCTGACATTATGTTATCATTATATTAATATAGTGTGCCCCTCAGACATGGATTTGTTCTTAGCAAGCTGGTAAAAGAAGTCTTCTATGCTCATGAGCCAAGTACCAAGTCTTTTCTATAGTAAGATTCCCCAGGGTTGTAAATGCTGTCTTCTGAGGCCTCTCGGGAGAAGTTACCACTTTCCCTTATTCAACATCTACTATCCCACCCCTGCCTACCCCATGTTTGAATACAATTGTGCCTTTGTACATAGAATAGCAGATGAAACATGGGTTTTGAATCCTAACTTGCTACTTACTAATTGAATAATTGGGAACGAGTTACTTAATCTCTCTGTGCCTCACTTACAAATTAAGGTGTGTCCAGTGGGGTTGATGTTAAGGGTAATGTATATAAGACGCTTATTACAATCTCTGGAAAATAGTAGATGCTCCTTAAACATGCATTACAAATGTTAACAAACGAGAAGTAGATTACTCTCAGGACCACAGCATGGGGAATAGGCTCCACTGCGTCCTTTTCTCCTCAACAGTACATAGAAAATATTGCATCCTATTCCATTAATCCTCTTCTTACTGAAAAGCCAAGTACAAGGGAGGGTTCACTGTTACTTACCATAACTTCAATTTGTTTATTACTCTTGATTCAAATTTCAGTTCATACATTGTACAGTTTATGGATCTCTTTCCCCCTCTTTATGCCTTCCCCCCCTTCTTCCAGATACCTGGTTTGCAACATGATAGCTCCTGTTTCTTTTAAAACTTAGCTCAGATACAGAGCCTTCATTTTCTGTTCTTCATACATGCCAAACATGCTCCTGTCTCAGGCCCTTTGCCCTTTCTGGTCCCTTCCCTTGATCACTTTGTCCCCAGAGCTTCACAGGCTGGCTGCCTCTCAGCCTGCAAATCTCAGTTTAAGTGTTACTATTTCAAAGAAATCTTTCCTAACCATCTTGTGCTCTTACCTATTACACAGTCATTTCTCTCTCTTTGCTCTGCATTATTTTCTTCATAGTATCATCACTATCTGAAGAAACCTCAGTTTATTTATCCTTTTTTCATACATAATGTCCTGTTTCCCCCACTAAGCTGGACTGGATCAGAAATTGATCCAGTCAATTTCACCTTCACCACGTATTACCCCAGAACCTGGAGAAGTGTCTGGCACACAGTAGTATTAAATAAATGTTTATAAATTTGATAAATGAATGACTGTTAGGAAGTCTTCCTTAACCACCAGGGTAGATTAGGTTCTCACTCCTCTTTGGAACTTCTGTCCTTTGGGCATACTTCATTGTGTAGCATTTGAACTGTATTATAATTGCTAATTGTGCTATTTAAAAAAATACCTTTTATGCATCCTCCTGTGGTAGTAAAGCTTTCAATGGTAAGATAGTAAAGAGGAAGGACAAGTGCTAAAACCCTAGCCAGGATTCTGCAATCTATATATGGGGTAAAAATGGGAGTTCATAACCCACTTGAATCAAATGTATGAAATATGATATGTCAAGAGCTATGTAATGTTTTGAACAACTGAAAAAAAAAAAAAAGAATGCACATGTAGGAATGGGCCCCCTCTGCTGATACAACATCAACCAATAAGCACCATAAAACCTGGATGCCTTCCTGACAAGTAGAGAGTTTAGGAAAAATAGCCCTGATAGGGATCAACTTGATATTGTATATTTAGATAAATAAGGCTTTTTAAATTGGAAGAGATGGAGATACCTATAATTGGTAAATATGAAGGTTCTTTCCAACTTAACTCTTCCTACATATTATTTAGTGAGGTAGAGACTATAAAGTTTAGATTTCTTACAAAAATAAAATTGTTAACTTTGACTTTTTGCTTTTGAGCTATATAGTATGAAACCTAGTCCTTGGCTATATTAATTTTTCTCTCCTTCTCTCTCTTCTACTCTTTAGACTATATACTCTTTGAGGACAGAGTCTCTATCTTTTGGTATGTATTCCTATTGTCTAGCATATATAGGAGCCACAAATGGAAGCTACATGTGTAATTTCACATTAAAAACAAAAAGAAACAGGTAAAACTAATTTTAACATATTTTATTTAACCTAATGTTAATATAATATTATCATTATAACATGAATCAATATAAATTTTTAATGGAGGTATTTAAATTTTTTTCTTGTGTTTACTAGGTGTTTAAGATCTGGTGTGTATTTTACGTTACAGCCCATTGCACTTTGGACTAGCCATCTTTCAAGGGCTTAACAGCCATATGTAGCTAGTGCGTGCTTTACTGAACAGCCTAAGTCTATCACAATTCCTGCTACAGAGCAGATAAAAAGTAAATATTTGTTCCATAAATGAATTTATAATACTAAACATTATCACTATAATGTCTTCCTGCTTTTTTTTTCTTTTAAAGTACAGAAGTATGACAAATTATACTTTACCTTTGATATAAGCATATATAGTTCTTGGCCAATAAATATGTAACATTAAATTTGTTTTTTTAGTTGTTGATAGATCTTTATTTTTATTTATATTTATGTGGTGCTGAGAATTGAACCGAATGCCTTACACATGCTAGGCAAGCACTCTACCACTGTACTACAACCCCAGCCCCTGTAGCATTAAATTCTTAAACAAGGTCATACAACATTTATTTTAACATGTCTTAAAATGACATTCAATTATGACCTTGGTTTCACTGTGTTTGTGTCAAAACTCATGGTTCCAAAAAACTTGTAATCTCTTGCATAATAAATATAAGTACACTTAGTCTTCAGTTGCACAGACCATAGCTAATATTCAAATGACTTTGTATAATCTATTATGATATTTAATAGAATCTCAGATTGTGATTTTTAAAAATTCAATTAAAATGTTCTATATCTAATTACTATCCCATTTTATTGTCTATTGCTCAGCTTCCCAAAAATAAATAACCATGTTTACTTTGCTTAATGGAAGATTAATTTGATCAAAAAGACAGTCTGTACCTTGTGGGGATTTTCAGTTGAAAACAATCATTTTCATGACTCTCACTAAGCGTTTCTTATTGTACCCTCCTGGAGTTGAAGTTATCTGCTAACCCTTTGTAAGGGCAAGACTTTATCTTCTCCCTTGTGTTTACTCTTTTTTTTTTTTTAGTTGTAGTTGGACACTATACCTTTATTTTATTTTTATGTGGTGCTGAGGATCAAACCCAGTGCCCCACATGTGCGTATTTACAGCTGAGCCACAACCCCAGCCCCTTATGTTTATTTTATTTTATTTTTTGTGGTACTGGGGATTGAACCCCGGTCCTTGCACATGCAAGGCAAGCACTCTACCAACTGAGCTATATCCCCAGCCCCCCTTATGTTTATTCTTATTGCCTTTCAATACACTCTAATATACCAAGAATTTTAACATTCATCCTACCCTAAAATGTTGATCACGATCAGGCAATGTCTCTTCTATTTATCATCTACTAACTTTATGAAGATATGCAATGACATTGATTCTGGAATAGACTGAATGTCACAGATGATACTGTGGAGTAATAACCATTACCGAACGATTCCTCTCCCTACCAAAAACTTATGACACTTCCAGTGGTTCCAACATATTTTGCCACTTTGCTGCTAAGAGAGACACAAGCAATCGTGAATCTCCCTCATGGTCCCCCATCAAAATTAAGTATTAATTTCTCCGACTGACTAGACTAGGTAGAGGCTGAGACTATTGTAACGCCATAATTATCGTCCTTTGAGTTCTTCCAAGTTGAGTTCTTAGTGATTTTCTGGGGTAGTAAGGCAATCCTTACTCTATGGATTTGCTATACTAAAAATTGTTTCTTTGAATAACTTTTTATTTGGCATCTATCACAAGAGAAGCTCAGAAGACATAGGGAGGACGGAACCAGATGCCTAGCAAAAATCCTTAAATGCAGGGTCAACTTCCCTTTTCAGGCAAAACCCTGCATCTTCCTCGCTGATGCCTAACCCCTAAAATATTTTGTTGTAGGTTGAGCTAGAAGAATTGTCTCAATAGTCGTTTCTTTAAAAGTCAAGGTGGTATTAAATAGAGGTGACAACATTGAATGTTTACAAATCTGCTATTTAAAATATTTACAAATTTATAAATTCAGAATGAAGTATTCTGCTCCAACTTGTAATCCAGGCGCATTTTGCTGCTGTGGAAACTAGGAAACGTTAAGATTGAATTCAAATCAAGTATTTCAGAAATCTTACAGGTGAAGCCTAGCTCTGGTTGCTAAGCAACCTGACAAACTAAAGTAGGGACCAACTCGCCTCCCACACTTGACTATCTCTCCTCAGTGGTGGGACGCGGAGTCCCGATTGGCCCCCATTTCCTCTCACTGAGCCCGAATTGGTCAGAGAACCTCTCACTCCTCTCCCGTTGGCTCTCGCCGTCTCTCGCCGCTCCGTCATTGGCACCCAGGCTCTCGGGCCACCCGACGTCACTGTCTCACCCCACTTCCTCGGCCCTTCAACTTGGTCCCCTCCCCTTCCCCCGCCCTTCTAGCCACGAGGGAAAACTCTAGCGAGTCTCCGCCTCTAGTTTTCTTCTGATTGGTAGAAAGCGGACTGGAAGGCGGACGCTGCTGGGCTACTTCGCTGACTGCAATTGGCTGTTGCAGCCATTGTCCCGCCTCCCACCGACTCCCGGCTGTGCCGGAGTCGGGTGGGTCGGCGGCTATAAAGCTGGTAGCGGAGGGGAGGCGCCGCGTACGGTCTTTCGCGGCTTGGTCTTTTCCTGTGGTCACTACCCGGTCACATTTGGGTGAGTGTCCGGCGCGGGGGAGGAGAGCTGGGCTGCAAGAGGCGCCGCCTGCGGGTGTGGGCCAGGAGGAGGCGGTGTCCTTGACTAGGCCCAAAGGAGCCGGGCTCCGGCTCCGGGTCAGGGATGAAGCGTGGACTTGGCCCTGAGTGGGACGCCGAGAGCTCGGGCAATGCAGGGCTTGACATGCGGGGCTTACCTTGCCAGGGACTCGGGGCCGACTGTGGCTAGTCTTAGGAAGGACCGGGGACTCCGTAGTGGGCAGGCGAGTCACGGAGGAGAGGTAAAAGGGCATTGAGCGAGGGCCAGGTGTTCTAATGCAAAGTTGGAAGTGCTGGAGAGGCGGCTGTGCCCGCTGGGGTAGGTTGAAGGGAAAGAGAAGGGAGCTGGGCTGTCAGTGTGTTCCCAGAGCCTTGGGTTAAAGGTGAATGCTAAAGGGATGGGGAAGATCTGAGTTGGGAGGATGTTGGCAGGGGGTGTGTCCTCCTACTGCCACAGATAGAGAGTTGATGGAAGGAAAGGGAAGTAGGCAGCATTGCTTTTCTTCACCAGCTCAGTTGCAAGAAATCAAAGCTGTGATTTAGACCCGACCGAATATTGGTGCTTTGGACACGTTCGATGTGTGCTTGCTTGAAATCTAAAATAACCTGCCTCTCTAGTTCTCACCTCCGTGTGTATAGATGTATATCTATACATCTGGGTGGTTTTTGTTTGTTTTTGTTTTTGTTTGTTTTAGTGTCTGCCTTAAAAATAGATCACCTCAGTATTCTGAAATTATGCACTTTCCTCCTGCTAATAACTTCAAGACCAGCCTTAGGAGGGAAATAATGAGGTAATGAGCAGTCACCCACAGAACCCTCACATAGTTGGGTTAATCATGGACATTTTAAGCTAAGTATATGAAATCTTTAAAAACATGCATCCTACTTTGACCAGTGGTAGAGGAAGAATTACACTGCCCCAGTCTGGAAAGAAGAATTTGGGAAACAGATACTGTGATGTTTCCCATTTTATTGTGCTTGCCCCTGTGGCTATGGCCTTAGGGCATCATAGGCTTCTTTCACTGCCCACCTCTGCTGCAGCCCCTCCTTCCTGCATATGATCTAAACAACCTGCTGCAGTAGGATTATGTGTTCTGATTGTTGCAAACTAACATTTATTCTATTTTTAAGGATGAATCATGAAAAACATGGCAAGATAAAAAATTCAATCCAGACAAATGGAAGTACTCATATAGTTAATAATTATTATTATTATTTTATTCCAGATTCTAGTAGATGGGAGGTAGATTCAAAGTCCCTAGCATGTATCTGTGCAAGGGGTTCTTTGCAGCTTTGAGACATGAAAGAAGTTTGTGTTCTTTGATGAAAACTTTAATTTTAAATATCAGTTATTTCTATGTGGAGACAGAAGGCAGAGAGCATATCTTATGGAAAGAGGGAAAGACTATCTTTGTGTCAAACTTTTGTAGATATTTCTCTCCTAAATTAGTAAATTTGCAACTTAGTTGAGTTTAATTTGAACATAGTTAGTAATCTGAGTTCTCAGAAGGTGGGTCCAATGCTGGGGAGCAGGAGTGTAAAGTGATATTATGTTTGAAGCTTTAGAAAGCCATCTGGGACTTGCTTTTAATTTTGCTTGTCTTAAATATTCCTCCTGATTACTATTACATCTTGATTCTTTTAACTGTGGGATTGATTTTGAGGTTTTGGACTTAGAATTTAGATAGATTTTTCTCAAAATAAATGGAAAATTTCAAATATTGATGTAGCATGGGTTTTCTGGATCTTCTAGAATGATTTAAAGCCTAGGTGGATCTTCCATAATCCAGTGGAACTGGATGTGGGGAAATGGAAGAACTTAATGGGCTTTATATCAGAATCTCTAATTAGTTTCTGATTTACATTTGGATCTTAGTCAAAGACCTAGAAGTGTTAATGGTTACATTTAGAAAGAAATGTAGTCTTATGATTTGATGTTGGGTTACTAAAAAACCAAATATGATAGAAAAGTGTGTTACTCAAAGTTTCTCAAGAAGGTGGTATAGGTTAAAAGATGAAGAAATATGTTACCTAATCTAATGGGAGCATGTTAGAACTAGATTCTTAATCTGTTCATCCTAATTCTTGGCACATGTGTATGTTCACTTGTTGTCTTGATGTCAAGTGAATGTAGTTAGAATGTTAGAAGAGAATCTAATCTTTCAAAGCTTACTGTTTTCATCTTTGCAAGGTTTGCGATTGTGTGTGGGTGCTTTGGGGAATGATTGTAAAATCAGTAAATATTCTCTTCTGATTTCATTTGGGCTCTTTACATTTTTATGATAAGGATCTGGGAACAATTCAAACTTACCATTTGCTTTGAACATTAGTGGTAGAGAGCCAATTTTCTTAAACTCCTGGACACTATTTGGTCCTGTAGTTCATCTTGAAAGTGATAGCAAAAATAACGAATTGGTAAGGGCTGCTAAGTCCTTGAATCTAAGATTTGCCCTCTAGTTCTTATAACTCCACATTCAGTCACTCGAGAAAGGGCAATGGATATTTAAAATCAATACAGTCTCTCTCCCAACAGGAGTTAGGAACCCCAATATGGATAAGAAGACTCTTCATAACTAGTTTTCAGTAGAGAGTAGGCTATGAAGACTTGAGTGTGAGTGACACATAAGTAGGAGTGCAGTCTGATTAGAAAACTCACTTTCTATGTGATTTATCTGGAAAACCTTCCTAGTCTCTTCTAGTTTAGAATAAGACCTTGAAATAATAATAGCATCTCTGAGAGGCAGACAAGTAGTTCTTGGGGAAGACAGGAATGTCCATGTATTGGACTTGGGAGAAGTACACCAGAGTGTACTTCTGAGGACAGGGTTTTACCAGTAGTTTTTGCCTGCTTGATTCTAAAGAAGCGAGGTTACCAAATCATTATCAATTTGCTGAATTGTTCTTCAGTAACTGAAAAAGATCAACTGGTAACTGCTTATAGATTATCATGTACCAAATGTATACTAGATTAATTTATCTGACCACTCATTTGAATCAAGGCAGAGAAGAGAGCCAAAAGGTAAAATCCAGAACCCTAAGTAAGTTCCAGAAGAAAGCACTGTTGTATGAATCTGGTTGGCCCCAAGCAATCTCGGCATTCTTGAGTTTTACTCTTTGGCAAACTCAAAATGTCTATATGGGTACTTAGGAGTCTCCAAACATGCTTTCTGATAACTGTTTCCTGACCCATATAATTTCCTTCTATCACTTGCACTGAAAAGACCTGTTACAAGCTGAAGACCTGTTTTGAGGCCTTGGCAATATAGGATGAGTATCCCTTATCTGAAACGCTTGGGACAGGAAGTTTTTCTGATTTTGGAATATTTGCATGTATGTAATGAGATATGTACCTGCTTTTTTTTTTTTTTTTAATGCTGAGGATTGAACCCAGTGCCTCACATATGCAAGGCAAGTGCTCTGCCACTGAGCCACAACCCCAGCCCCATGTACTTGCCTTTTAACTGTGATCTGTGACATTAGGTCAGATGTGGGAATTTTCATATTCAGCATTATGTCAGCAGCGCCTAGAAAGTTTAGGATTTGGGGAGCACTATATTTAAGTCAGATTTTCAGACTGGGGATGTCCAGCCTGTATTGGTTTTCTGAGAGTAGAAAACTCTTCCAATAGCTACAGGAAAGAACAGAAAGTTAATCCCTCTTAAGTTAGTTCTTTCCCCACAGTACCATTTACTATCTCCATTTCTTTCCTAATCTCTAGGCCTCTCTCTCTCTGGAATTACTTTCACAAGCGGTATGTGATATATCACATATGCAATATGTCATCCTGAAGTAGCACAGCAGTTCTTTCTTAATCTTTTCTATTTTTTCCTTTGCTCTTGCGTGTGGGTGCGTGCGCGCGCACCCACACGCACACGCACGCTTTTTCTCTCCCCACCTAACTTTTCTTCCCAATTTAAATGATCAAAATAGAAAGAGGAAAAGGGGAAAGTTACTTGATAAAAGTGGTGTCAAATACATATACAGACGGGCCTCAAGGACCCATCGTAAGTTATTTTAAGTTGCCTTAACATGGAGAGAGAATCATGTTTTCCCCCATCACTGAAAACTGGTGTCTGCTTAATTTAGAGTACAAAAGGATAATTTGAGACAATACAGTCCCCAGTTAATTGAGCAAAGGCAGATGCTAAATTTGCCAATTGTTTAGAGTGGAGGAAATTATGTACATGTTAAACATAGAAGCTCTATCTCAAATAACAGCCTTCAAAACAGATCAACTGAAGAAAATACTCAAGTCATTTTCCTAGGTGATTTTCATATAACTTTAATGGTAATAAAATTTAATGCACCTTTGCCTAAATGCTTACTTTTTAAACATAAGCACTAAAAGAGTAGGGGGAATCACTTTTTTAAAGGTTGGGGAGAGTGAAGATAGCCATGTTAAATATGAGTATAAAATTAAACAAATCATAATGATTAGGTCTTGCTAGAAATCTTTATTTGAATAATACTAATAATAATTAGGGTAATAATAAAGTATTGGTGCTTTTTATTATAATACGTTTTTTACAATTTTATCTTCACAATGATCTAGGGAGGGCAGTTATATTAGCTTTATTTTATAGGAAATTGAGGTTCAAAGAGGAACAAATTGCTATTTCAGCCACAAGCCCCCAAGGGCAGGGTAACTCTTGAATATGTAAGTTGCTTTATTCCAGAAATCTACAATTTACCTAAACTCCTTCTTCCCAATTCCTGATAAAATAAATTTAGTAGAGAAGACTGCAACTTCACTGTTGATTTAAAGCCTGAATCAGTGATATGATTGTATTTAAATTCATTGCTGACTGAACCTAAGGAGGGGGAAAGAGTTTTATAAGCTTTAAGTAACTTTTCTAAGTACATGTCAAATCTTTTCTGCATGATATAATTGGATAAGGAAATGCTCATTTTGAATTGAAGTCATATTACTTGAATTTGTGTAAATGATTTATGACTTTAAAAAAAGTTCTTACTTGAAATTCCTAGTGCCCAGCAGAGGAAACAGTGACAGACCTGGAGGCTGCAGTTCTCTGTCCTTCACACAGGTATGCTATCATATCATGCAGCTTAAGTAAAGTGTTCTGTTTTGAGGGAAGGGGGAAATTTAATTTTTATCCTAGAACAAATAACCATTTATATGTGCCATATATTTTGAAATTACTTTTCATGATCATTTATACCTTGTCTTCAAAAATTAATTAACGCCATCATGCTTCAGAAAACTAATTTTGTGTTTATTAGACTAATGTTGAAAATCTAGCAAAGAGTTTTTAAAATTAGTGTTCACTCTTCAGAGAAAAAATATAGATAATAAAGTATAATCACAAACCACTTACTAACTCATTAAGTCCCAAGCTTGCTTTCTTTCTTCCTTTTAATATTTATTTAGTTGTAGATGAACATACAGTATCTTTATTTATTTTTATGTGGTGCTGAGGATTGAACCCAGTGCCTCACACATGCGAGGCAAGCACTTTACCACTGAGCTACAGCCTCATCCCCACCCCCATCCTCAAGTTTTCAATTCTGTGAATATTTCAGCAAAATATTCAGGTACATGGTAATGAGTGTATTAAAATAGATTGTGAATTGTCAACAGCTTACATATATTTTATATATTTTCACATATATGTGGAAATGTATGTATTTTTTCAAACACTTTAGTCATTCATCTATTTTCTTAATAGAATTCTAAAAACATAATATTTATTTTAAAAGTTACCATAAGCAGTATATTTGTTGCTCAATTTAAATTTTTATAGTATCTCATATTTGGGACAATGGAACTTAATAGGTTAATCAAAAAAATCATAGGCAAGCATGTGTACAAACAGTGCTTTTTAAATTATAGTTTTAGAAGATGCATATCTGGGCTGTGAATGAATGTTTAAAATTATGTGAGAATGGATAGTGATTATAAGTGTGTTTGAAGCAGTAATTTAATTATTTGCAGCTGTTGCTTTCTCATATTGCCATGGAGTGCCTCTCTTATGATTCTGCTTTTTCTTGTATTTCAGTATTATGGTTTCCTATTATAATAGAAAGCTAGTCAGATCTCTCTTACTCAGCATTCAATATCAGCCATATTCCAAACAATGAGCTGAGTATTGGGATGTAGTGATGAGCAAGACACAGTTTCTACTGTCAGAGTTCCTTGTCTCACAGTGCAAAGAGTCTGAGCTTAAATAATAGAATCTTGAGAGAGATTAAAATAGCATGTTAATCATCAAACATGTGTTTTCCAAAGATACCTGTTGGCCAAGGACAGGAAAGTGGAGGTGGAGAGCTTAGTTAGGAGGTTGTCATAGTAGTCTATGGGGCAGGTGCTGAAGTTGTTCCCTTATATAAGCCATTGAGAAGACAGGTCAGTGCCACCTTTGCACCAGCATCCCAGCTGGTTTACCTCCCCTCACCATCCCCCCCCACCCCAATTATCTTTCATTTACAGATTTATTCTTGGTGATATATTAATCTTTTTCCTATCTAGGTAGGAAGCCCTTAGAGAGTGTTAACTAGGCTTTCTTTTTTACTCTGTTCACTAAAAATAGTTCCTTTTGTCCACCAGAGGAGGTGAGCAGTCACTTTAGGGAAAAAAAGACTTCTGTCCTCTGGTAGTTGTTTCTTGGAAGATTTGGAAGGTTTACAAAGAGTTCTCTGGTAAATGTGTACACATTTCCCTCCTTTTAAAAAGTTGGAATTGAAAAATAAAATTTAGATATTTTCTTATATAGAATCTTTGCTATGCTGCTTGGATTTTTTTTTAATAAATGTATTTTTTTAATAAATGATAATTTTTTTAATAAATGAAAAACAATGAAATAAACTTCATCAGCAAAAAAATTTAAATATGAATAAATGTTTTTAAGTGTCAGATTTTCAAAATTGTGTTCTATCTAAAATTTTTTTGAGTGTATTTTGTTTATTAAGAATAGTGAATTAGCTAGACTATTCCTGGTAGAGAATTATTAGCACATAATATGAAAATCTCAGACCGTTTACTAGTTTTTTGTTTCCCTAATTTATATCTAGCCTACTTGAGAAGCATATGAGAGGACCTTTTTTTTAAAGAGTCCATACATAAAAGAACAAAAAGCCTTGGTGCTGTCCTTTGGTTTCCTACTTTTTGACTCCTGCTTAGGGATTCACTGCCTTTCTCAGACCATTTGGTTCCTAGAAATGAAAACAGTGTTCTGCTATTCTGGAAATTGCTTTCAGATAGGGCTGTTGACTGTCAAAGTGGGGCACTTTAATTGGTGAAATATGATAGGCAAGAAGTGCTAAAGGTAATTAGTAGTTGTCTATTGAGTGTTGTTATGATTTTGAAAGAGTAAAATGCTATCAGTTTGGTTTGGAAAGGTTTCATGGGTAAGATGTGATGTACATAATCCAGAGCTGTAAAGGATCGGAAGAAGCAGAAGCAAGAGGTGGGTTGTTGAAGAAATGACTAGATGTTTTGGGATAATGAATAGAATATTGGAGAGTGAAGGGAGGGTAACTTTATTTGTAGGACAGGGAAAGATTGGGTAATATTTAGCGTTTATCCTCAATTACTAAGGTTAGTAGAATTCTCTTCATGTTTTCTAGTGTAGGTTGCATAAGTCAAAGCTAAGAATCTTATGTAAAGTTCCATATAGAATGGTGGTAGATGGCAAGGATAACTTGGAAAAAAATATATGTAGTTGTTGGTGAAATGACAGAAGCAAAGGCAGCTTAGCTTGTCTCAGTTTGTTCTCTTCTTCACTTCTTCATTGATAGCTCTGAGAGCTGGTTTGGTTGAACCCCATTTACCAGAGAAAAGAACAGAAGGAAATAGGGTTTTCATGGAAGAAGGGAAGATTAGAACAAAGTGGAGAGGTACTTCTCTGTTCACTTAGCATATCTGACAGTGAGCATAAAAAGTCATAAAACAGTTGGCTAGAAATCTGGGAGTTGTTCTAGATACCCACATATTTTCTTCTTTTCCTAACATCTAGTCAGTTGCAATTTCTGCCAAATTTTTGCTTCTGCATTTTTGGAACTCTTCCTTCTTTCACCCCACATATAGTAATTGCTCTATGACCCATATTTTATCTGAACTGCTGTATCAGCTTCTTAACTCAAACCCATTGTATACATAGCACCTTTGACTACAAAATAGCAGTTCTCAGTTTTGACTGTGATCCCCCAGTAGGAGATAATACTGTATATGTGTGAATAATTGAAACAAAATCCAAGAAAAAAAAAATCCATACATTTGTTATGCTATGCAATCTGGTATTTCCTATTTTCTGTTTCATTCTTAAAAATATTTGCTGTCCCCTAAACGGATTCCAGGGCTGAGAAAATATTGCTGTGATGATTAATATGATCACCTTATTCCTTTTTTAACCTCTTTGATTTCTTACTAACTTTATGATGAATTCAAAGCTGCTGATATCAGTACATTAGACTCTTCATTACCTGACCTTAACCTAGTTCTCCTGACATATTTGCCTCATCCATTCACTGGCACTAAGATTTCATTTCAATAGATAGTAAAGTTTTATAGTACCTTATAGTGTGTCTTTGTTTATGCTGTACACCCTGTTGAAAATCTTGTAGCACCATCTGTTTCTGCAGTGTTTTACTGTTTACTTCCATATATTCAGTTCTGAATACTATAATGTAATTATATATCGTTACCTGTTGATTATTATGTATTTTTATCTTACTGTCCCACTAAAATTATTCCAAATGTTTTAGCCTGTAACATGTTGGTATTCTTTGAATGAATGAAAAAGAATAATATTCTTGTATTTAGAAGAAATATTCAACTGGTGGACTTTAAGATCATTAATTTAGATTTTGTGATTATATTTCTAGGCACTGTGTGTGTGTGTTAGTTACTGAGAACTGAACCCAGAACCTTGCACATTCTAGACTAGGGCTTTAGCGTTGCTACATCCTTGGCCCTTTTTAAAATTTATTTTGAGACAGGGTCTTGCTAAGTTTTTTTTTTTTTTTTTTTTATGGGGCAGAGGGATGATACTGGGAACCCAGAGGTACTCCACCACTGAGCAACATTGTTAGCCCTTTTAAAATTTTTATTTAGAGAAAGTGTCTCTCTAAGTTGCCTTAGGGCTTGGCTAAGTTACTAAAGCTAGCTTTGAACTTGTGATCCTCCTGCCTCAGCCTCCTGAGCTGTTGGGTTGACTTTCCATTTTTAGGTTATCAAGTTAGTCATAGGTTGGCAAATACTACAGAAAGTTAGTGAATCAGAATGGCCCTAGTAACTCATAAATCAGGATCTTTAGATCAATGAAGAGCTGAAATTCTGCTACCTTAGCAGTCCTGTTCTGCTATATATGTGTGATATGTGTCATACTTAAAAAGGAAATTGAGTTGTAGAATTTTGGATGTGGAAAGGATTCTTTAAAACTGGGGTGATGTATCACTCTTCAAAGCCTGATAACATATTGCTGACACCTGTTCCATCTGGGTCCTGGTTATGATACCAGTAGAGGTACTCTGGTGAGATGAGAAGGTCTTGTTTGTAGTGGCAGGAGCACCGGGAATATAGGCTTGGGGGATCTCAAGAACTACCTTTCCCCTTTGTTCCTCTAGCCCAGACAACAAATCTATAATCATTTCCCTGGGTAATCCCCACTCTGTTGGAAATATCTAGAATAATTTCTCATGTCTTAATTCATAAAATCTTTCAAAGATATTGAGCCTCTAGTAACTTAAGTGATTTGCCCTTGGGGTATACAGTAGTGGTCCTGAGAACTAGCAATTTTTTTTTTTTACTTTTGGTAAGTAAATCTAGATACTTCTGAAAGTCTTCATTGTGTGGCAGTACTCCAACTTTTTAGTGCCATTTTAAAAAAGAAATCATGGTTTTAGGAGTTAGTTGCTACACAGACAAAGCATGCATTATCAGAGATTCTTTTTTTCTCAAGATGCAGTTTAATGCTCATTTATTACGTATACACTGCTGCAGAAATTGAATTGTAGAATATTGGCATTTGACCTGTAATGGGTCCTGGAATGTATCTTTGCACAAAATGTTAATTATTTGATTTCTTTTTTGGGATAGGATTATAATCGTAGAGGCCTTATACAGATTGGCTTGCTAGACTTCTATACTGTGGTTTTTCTACTTGCTGAGATTGTTTAGATCAAATTTTTAAAAAACAATATTTTTAAAAGCCTGTAATCCTAGCCACTTGGGAGGTTGAGGTAGGAGGATCACAAGATCAAAGCTAGCCTCAGTGGTTTAGCAAGATATATAAATGATAAAATGGACTGGGGATGTCGCTCAGTGGTTAAGCATTCCTGGCTTTAATCCCTGGTACCCTCCTCCCCCCAAAAAGCAACATCACTTGATCTAATGATTTTTGTATTTCCTAAAGTCAATAGTTGTGGATAATCAATATAATATATCTATTATGAATAAATAGCATATTTAAACCTTTTTATTATAAGTCAGATAATTCTGATTTGTCAGCTATACTTTCAAATTGTCATTATATTTTAGCTTATAGTTCTTTGCAGTACAGAAGAATTTTATTTGAATGTTGCTTATCTCTACTAATCATGTTTTAAATCCATAGATGCCCAGTTTTGAATAGTTTTTTTAAACTTTGAATAAGTTTTTTAAAAGCTTATGATTTTAAGAGATAATATTCCATTTGTACAATCATTGCTACTTTACAGATTTACAGTTGGCTGCCCTAAGTAAAGTGTACTGAAAACTTAGACTAAACCAATATTTCAGGTGATTATTGGACTCACAACTGCTTCTCAATCTTGAATTTTAAAGTCAGCAATTTGTAGCCTAAAATAATGTCTGTTTCTCTTTTTCTTTCTAAAGCTCTTTCACCATGCCTGGGTCACTTCCTTTGAATGCAGAAGCTTGTTGGCCAAAAGATGTGGGAATTGTTGCCCTTGAGATCTATTTTCCTTCTCAATATGTTGATCAAGCAGAGTTGGAAAAATATGATGGTGTAGATGCTGGAAAGTATACCATTGGCTTGGGCCAGGCCAGGATGGGCTTCTGCACAGATCGAGAAGATATCAACTCTCTTTGCCTAACTGTGGTTCAGAATCTAATGGAGAGAAATAACCTTTCTTATGATTGCATTGGACGGTTAGAAGTTGGAACAGAGACAATCATTGATAAATCAAAGTCAGTGAAGACTAATTTGATGCAGCTATTTGAGGAGTCTGGGAATACAGATATAGAAGGAATAGATACAACTAATGCGTGCTATGGAGGCACAGCTGCTGTCTTCAATGCTGTTAACTGGATTGAGTCCAGCTCTTGGGATGGTAAGTTACATGCCTCTATAACAAAAATTCAAAATCCAAAAAACTCCTTGAGGATGAATAGACCCAAGTGACCTTTTAATTAATGCCATGTGCAAACTTTGACTAGTTATATTTGTTCAAGTATATTCAGAAATACAACTATGGCTTTTGACTTATGTAAGTCATGAATTGGTTATCTTATTGTATAGAACAAATGATCTAGTCCAAATTTAGTTGGCATTTATTTCTTTATCAAAGAGAGGGAAAGCATGTTCTGGATAACATATAACAGATTTGAGTTTGCATGTATAATATTTATAGTGTTGACCACCTTGTGAAATCATAAATATCTTTCAGGACGGTATGCCCTGGTAGTTGCAGGAGATATTGCTATATATGCCACAGGAAATGCCAGACCTACAGGTGGAGTTGGAGCTGTGGCTTTGCTGATTGGGCCAAATGCTCCTTTAATTTTTGACCGAGGTGAGTGTTTGGGAAAGCATTTATTAGTTAATTATTTATTTATGTATTTATTTGACACAATATCCTGAGAGACTTGAAAATGGAAATAGAAACTACTATTTGCTGAATGTTCATTAAATGCAAGCTAAGTGCTTTATGTGTGTTACCTTATTTAAGCTTCATAGTAGTCATAGTAGTTTTATGAGGTAGGTGGGGACATCCCCACTTTACAAGAGAAGTAAGGTAGTAATAACTTGACTCCCATAGTCACAGGCAAGTTTCATTTGTCTTCAGTACAATAACTATGATCTCCCAGTTAGATTTATGATACATGCATGGAAAGGTTACATACCAAAGGAGTCTTCACTTTCCCTCATTTTAATTATATTGGCTTTCCCTTGCATTTCCTATATGGAAGTGGGGAGAGTTGGTGAGGTAGTTAAAGAAGGTCCTTAGATTATGTGGTATACTTCCTAATATGCAGACATCAAGAAGCAGAAATAGTGGCGCACACCTATAATCCCAGTGGCTTTGGAAGATGAGGCAAGAGGATCATGAGTTCAAAGCCAGCCTCAGCAACTTATTGAGATACTAAGCAACTCAGTGCGACCCTGTCCTAAGCAAAATATGAAAAGGGGCTGGGAATATAGCTCAGTGGTTAAGCACCCCTGGGTTCAATCCCCAGTACCAAAAAAAAAAAAAAAAGAAGCAGCAGAAATATACAGACATCTTCTTTTTGGTTCTGATAGGGCTTCGTGGAACACATATGCAACATGCCTATGATTTTTACAAGCCCGATATGGTCTCTGAATATCCTATAGTTGATGGAAAACTCTCCATACAATGCTACCTCAGTGCATTAGACCGCTGTTATTCTGTCTACCGCAAAAAGATCCGTGCTCAGTGGCAGAAAGGTGGGTTTTACCTTTAATGATTTTCCTAGGTTTTGCTATCTGTTGAGGGAAGTGTATCTTTTGTGAGAAACTGCTTTGTGACTATCCTTTTGTAGTACCCTATTACTCTGTTTACTCTTACCTACCAAATAGCATTTCCCCATAGTTTCTGGGAATGTATAATATAGGTAAAAAGATAAGCTTTGAAAATGAGGTATATCTCTGCAGAAATACTTAGGTTGATTTACTCTTTTTAAAAAAGTATTTTGAATTTGGTCTTTTGAGAGAGGTACTTTAACAAGGTGTTAACTATTATTCAGAGAAAACCAGTGAAAATAAATTACTGAAGTGATCCCTTCCCACCAAAATCTGTTGGCACCATGACCTGTGAATTGTATTTGCTATTTTAGGGTTATTGTTAATCTCAATTTTTAACCCTGAAAAAGTTTTAAAGGTAGTAAAAAAAAGTAGGGGTTTGAATTATTACCATTATAACACAGTGTTGTAGAAAGTGCTTTTTCCATGGTTCTACTTTTAGAAGTTTTAAAAGACGATTAAAGATCAATTTCATAATAGATATTAGGGAATATAGTGGCTCTAAATAAGAAGCATTCTAGCAGTATGTTAAAATGTCATACTATTTAACAATACAGGGCTATTTATACTGCACTGTTTAACAGTGTGTATTTAAAAAGATACACCATTTAGTATGTATTTAACAGGACAGCAGTAGTCTAACTTTCTTATTGGGACTTAGGGTAAAAAGGAAATTTAACTTTGTGAATGTGAAACATTGTATGAAACAAAAAGTATCATGAAATTACTTATCCATGCTGTAAGTTATACAGTTTGCTATTTTTTACATAGTTCTTGATCTACTCTATTTTTAAAAATAATAATTAGTCCTGACCAACTAAATTGATTACATAACCTACTAGTATGACTCTTAAATTTGAAAATGAGTGATGTATATACTTTCCATCTCTGGATTTCTTTTGGGAGTGGGGCAAGCAAAGCAAAAGTTTATTGAAGCTTGATAATACATTATGGAAGAGCACAGTGGGCCTAGATGGCAGCCTGTCTACATAGTGGGGGTTGGAGGGGTGCTCTCTGTGACTTTCTTTTTTTAATATTAGATCTTTATAGTTAGTAGTTAGATTCATATGGATGTCTTTTTTGACAGATCTTTTAAACTATAGAAAGATTTCATTATTGGGGGGATAGTCTGATTAAAGGTATAAAAACATCCTGACATTGTTCTAAAGACAAGCTGTAAAATATCATGACTTATGTGAATTTCATAGCTTCTTTGGATTTCTCTTGCAGAGGGAAATGATAAAGATTTTACCTTAAATGATTTTGGCTTCATGATCTTTCACTCACCATATTGTAAACTGGTTCAGAAATCTCTAGCTCGGATGATGCTGAATGACTTCCTTAATGACCAGAACAGAGATAAAAATACTATCTACAGTGGCCTGGAAGCTTTCGGGTAAAAGGACCTATTACGATTCTTTTCCTTCTATATTAAGAGGGTTTTTTTATTTGTACAGACCTGAAAATTTTAGAGTCAAAAGAATGTTAAAAGTCCTCTAGTATAATCTGTCTAACCAATGAAGAAACTGAGTCCCAGCGAGGTGGTGGCTTACCTATGCGAATTCTTTAGTCAGTTCTACGTAAGACTTTGTGATTTCATCTTTAGCTTTATTCTCATTGTCACCATGATAATATCACTACAGAAATGCCTATATTCACTACCATAGCCAGTGAGCTCTTTTTGCCTCTTTTTAGTCACTGTGCTTATATCTGTCTTATTCACTGCCACTATTGAGTCTCATTTCGTAGTCCCTCTCACTTTTTAGGTTCATGCTTGCTATGTATGTTACTTCATTCTGTTTCTGTGCACCTGTGTCCCTTCTTCATCTAGTAAAATTCTACTTGACTTTCAAGACTTAGTTCCTATGACTTTTCTAACTAAACAGACATGACTATGGACTTGAGACAGTATTGTGTTTGGTGACAATAATGTTTTAGTCTATTAACATGTTAGTATCAAGTTGTCTTTACTTGGTAAAAATAAAACCTCAAAGAACCATATGTGTACAACTGTTATATCTTCCATAGCAGTTAGCATAATTCTCTTTCTTTTTTTTTTAAAGGATTTTTTAAAATAACTTTATTATGTGCTGAGGATCGAACCCAGTGCCTCACATGTGTGAGACAAGCACTCTACCACTGAGCCACAACCCCAGCCCTGTCTTTGATTCTTAATGAAAAAATAGAATCATGTACACTAAAAGATGTAGATATTAATTAGGTCCAGTGTGTAACATAATTAAAACATAATCTTTGAACACTGTAAAAAAATTTTTTTTATTTAAAATCTTTCAGGGATGTTAAATTAGAAGATACTTACTTTGACAGAGATGTGGAAAAGGCATTTATGAAGGCTAGTTCTGAACTCTTTAATCAGAAAACAAAGGCATCTTTGCTGGTATCAAATCAAAATGGAAATATGTATACATCCTCAGTATATGGTTCCCTTGCTTCTGTTCTAGCCCAGTAAGTATGAATTTCAGCTACTTAACTCCTCTTTTCTAAGACCAAATCCAGCATCAGGCAGGTATATAGTTCTCAGTTATTGTCTGTTATTGTCTATTGTCTCGAAGGACATGGGTTGAAGCTATATGGATTCTTCCATATGGTTCTTCCAAGCTTCGAGACAGAGACATGCTATTTTTAGTCTTCTAATGTTGAAATTATTTGCTATTGTAGGGTCTGCTCTTGATAAAATAATAGCAAGTATTTATTCCAGAAGTATATATTAATTTCACATCAGTCTCCTGACTCCTATTTTATTGATTTATTATTGTTGTTGTTATTATTATTATTATTTTAATTTATTTTTTACCTTTATTTTATTTTATGTGGTGCTGAGGATTGAACCCAGTGCCTCACACTTGCTGGGCAAGTGCTCTAACCTGAACCACAACCCCAGCCCTGGTTTTATCATTCTTGATTTACATTTATGCACAGGTGTCTAAGTTGACAGAGTAGCTTATTTTGTGGTATAATTTTCATAAGCCTCGTTGTTTCCCCAAAGGTGAAAACTTTGGCTTTTAGTCTGCTCCCTGTCTAATACTAAAATGGTTAAATTTCCTACTGTAATATTAAAACCTTTAGATCCTTAATAACTTTTAAGGTACATCTTCATTTTTATGTATAGTGTGAATTTTTATTCCTCCTTTTATGGTTTCCCTCTTATAGGTTTGAATCAATTAAACTTCTTGCCTTCTCTCCCCTGCCCCCGCCCTCTTACACAGGTACTCTCCTCAGCAATTGGCAGGGAAGAGGATAGGAGTGTTCTCTTATGGTTCTGGTTTGGCTGCCACCTTGTACTCTCTTAAAGTTACACAAGATGCCACACCAGGCAAGTGCTGATTCTTTGAACAAGAATGTATTGGGAATTTGATTCAGTGAGATTGTTTTAGCAGTCTTCTCAGATGACTACTTGAATCCCAAAGTTCATTAACTTTAATTTTCATTACTTTTAACATAGCCAGATTCTTACTGTCTACCCTAATAAATTTGCCTTAATTGGATAAAGGGTAAATTTTTTTTTTCTTTCCATCAGTACTGGGAATTAAATCTAGGTGCACTCTACCATTAAATTATATCCCTACCCCTTTTTGTTCTTTATTTTGAGACAGGGTCTCACTAAATTGCTGAGGATGGCCTCAAACTTGTGATCCTTTTGTCTTAGCCTCCTGAGTAGCTGAGATTATTGTCATGCACCACCACACTTAGCTAAGGATTAGACTAATTTTTATAGATTTATGGTCCTGGCTATATTTAAGGAAATTTTTGTGCCTTCCCTGAATAGGAAGAAGTAAAAACATTGCACAAGAGGTGATAAAGACTTGACATTATTTGAAATTATACTATGGATTAACTATAGAAAAGTTATTTGTAGTTTCATATCCTACCTATTTCCTAACTTGTCTACTAGCTGATACTAAATAAATGTCTAGTCCAAGGTCAAATAGATACTATCTTGTTTTTAAATAATTGCCAGTAATGTTGGAAGAAAAGCTATTTTTATTTGACAATATTTTATTCAACCTTCGAGACATGCTATTTTTAGTCTTCTAATGTTGAAATTATTTGCTATTTTAGGGTCTGCTCTTGATAAAATAACAGCAAGTTTGTGTGATCTTAAATCAAGGCTTGACTCAAGAACTTGTGTAGCACCAGATGTCTTTGCTGAAAACATGAAGCTCAGAGAGGACACTCATCACTTGGGTAAAATATTAAATTTCATTTAAATGAAAACTTCTTGAAGAGTAACATGAAGTATGTAACATATGAGATAAGGCTATCAAGACAGATGTCTGTGAAAATTATAAGGAAATAGGAAAATTCTTCAGTTTTATTACCAGATGAGTTGTATATCATAACTGATTGTTAATCTCCTCCGCCTTCTCTTTAGCCAACTATATACCTCAGTGTTCAATAGATTCACTCTTTGAAGGAACATGGTACCTAGTTAGAGTGGATGAAAAGCATAGAAGAACGTACGCTCGTCGCCCCTCTCCAAATGATGACACTTTGGGTGAAGGAGTAGGACTTGTGCATTCAGATACAGCAACTGAGGTAAATAAAGCTCATTGTGTTGGTCCTATTCTTTGACAGGATAAGAAGTTCATGGGCTGGGGATTTAGCTCAGTTGGTAGAGTGCTAGCCTTGCATGCATAAGGCCCTGGGTTCAATCCCCAACACCACCAAAGAAAGAAAGAAGTTCACACATATATATCAGGGTTTGGGGCCCCTAACTGAAGTTTAGCAATTTAAAGGAATGTTAGTAAATAGTAATTCAGAGCAAGAGCTCTGGGAGAAGATTCCAGCTGCTGTTTCCAAGTTTATAAAGTACATGCTAAGTACAAGATTTTATTAACAATGCCAGAAGTTAAAGGAAGACTGATCTAGAGAGAAGCTTATTTGTGGCGTATCTTGAGAGACAGAGAAAGTTGGGATAGTGTTGAGCTGCTCACATCTCATCTCAGACCATTGTCAAGAAGTAACAATAATAGCTATGATTTGAATTCCTATTATATGATAGGCCCTTTACTTACATTTTCTTATTTAATCCTTATAACAATTACCTTGAGGTTTAGCAATATACTATGCCCATTTTGGAGATAAGGCTTCAAGAAGTTGAATTACTTGCCCAGTATCATAGCTAGTAAGTGCTGAAACCAGGTTTCAAACCAAGGACTTTATTATATATTATAATCTTGAATGATTATGATTTTTTTCTGCTTATTATAACTTTGGTAAATGCATTGTCTTGCTTCTAGTTTTTATACCCGTTAGGTAGCAAGTCAAGCCACCAGTGTTGCTGTATAAAATGTAACAAGTAAAATACTGTATAATCTCCTTCTCTTGCTTTATAGATTATTTTAAAATCAGTTCACCATAAGGTGAAAGAAAATAGTTCCCTCCAGGGAAAGCTATATAGTTAGCATCTCCAGAGTTATCCTTTAATAGTTTCTCTATGGGAACTTTAGTGCCATGATCCTTGGGGGAAAAAGTGTAATAGCTAACAACTAATTTTATTTTCATTTTAGCATATTCCAAGCCCTGCTAAGAAAGTGCCAAGGCTCCCTGCATCAGCAGCAGAACCCGAAGTAGCTGTCATTAGTAATGGGGAACATTAAGATACTCCGTGAACTGCGAGACTTCACAGTGTGTTTGGGTTGGGGTGGGGATAGGGGAATGGTTGGAGGAAGGGAATGTCTGGGGACAATTTTAAAGAATTACACATTGCTTAAATTTTTATGTGACTGACACAGAGCCTAGCAAACTGTTGTGCTCTTGGACAAGTCTATCTGCCCAATTTGCTAACATGCTTCCTGTTGTGGTCTAGCCAATGCTAAATGTACTCGAATGATGTTAAGGGCTCTGTAAACTTTATACCTCTCTGGCCATTTATATGCATGAAATTTAGTTTTTAAATGTAGTGTGAATCCTGTGCTTCTGTTAGAGGAAAGCAGAGGTACTAGTCTCCAATTTAATTTTTTTTTTAATGTGTAAGAATTTTATACTTTGAACAACAAGATTATTGAAAGTACCTGTGGTTTTTGAAAATTTTTTCTAGCTTGGGGAATGTGGTCTTAAAATGTGATATGCACAAATACTCTTTGAAAATGGCAAGACAAACATTCTTTTTCTCAGATTTATAAATCCTAGAGAGGCAGAAAAGAGTTAGGACAGTAACACTGGTTCTGGAATATTATCCAGACCAACAGTGACAAAGTTATTGTGATGATCTCTGAACAGAGAGACACTAGCATTGAGCAGGTTTCTGGCATAAAAAGCATGGTCTGTTTGGGAGCTGTCATGATAGCTGCAGGAGCTGAGTGCTCCTGATCAGTTCATGGTGGACTGTGCTCAGCAACATCGAGATGTTATTGGAGGTGTATATGAGGAAGCTTTTTGTTGCAATCCTTCTTTGCACCTTATTTTAAAAGATACATAAAACATTTCTTTGATGCCTTTTTAAAATTTTAAACTGGAAGGATGGAGCAGGGCATTATTAGGCTACTTATGTTTCAGTGTTACAAATTCAATTTCTAGACTGACAGATTTGTGGTATGAGTTCTTTTTGTTTTGTGTGTGTGTTTGTGTGGGTCTTTGTTTTTGTATCTGTTCGATGAAAATAAGAAGGTACAACCTAAGTTTTTACATAGTCTGACTAGCCAAAAAGAGTATTCCACTTCAAGGTCTGGAAGTAGGGTTTATAAAGCTTTTTCTTGGACATTCACCTTTAAAAAACAACAAAAAACTATCACATGGAATGAAAGAGATTGGTTAGAAAGTTTTATAGATGTTTTTGGTGCTGAACTATGACATGAGCCTTATAGATTGTAAAATAGAGATAGTTGGAACTAATGTACAGAACTAAATTTTTAAAACTTTATTTACCATTAAATTCTGTGAAGTTTCAGTTATCGAAAATAAACAAATACAAAATGTAATGTTTCAGATTGCAAGCTAATATGTAATGTAGTGTTTGTAAGATACTCTTGTCTAATATTATTAACTAGTGGTATTTTGATTTGTACAGTCATAATTTGTTAAAATGACTTCATTTTAACATCCACTGATGTAGATTAATAATGTAAGCTCAGATTTAAAAGAATGGTGGGAAAATGGTGCATGTAATACTTTTCCAAGTTTTGGGAGTTCAGTATGTCGAAAAGAGTAATTTAATGTTTGATTGCCAAGAAATGGGTTTTCTCAAAGTCCATTGCCGGCAATGGGCAAGCCTGGTAATACTGGCACAGAGCATTAACCATAAACCTTATTGATGGTAAGGTGAATAACTTTGAAATAAAGTTTTAGAGAAACATTTTAGATATTTGAGTATTCTTTTCCCCTTCTCAACTAACAATGTAGACAAGACATATGCAGAACATGCTGTTTTTGGACTTTTTAAAATTTATATGCATTGCTGAGAATCAAACCTGGTGCCTTACACATGCTAGGCAAGTGCTCTACCACTGTGCCACAACTCCAGCCCAGAATATGCTATTAAAGGTGAGCATTCATTTCAGCTCATTCATTCCACAAACATTTGAAACCTAACATAGGCAGGGCTCCTTACTTATGCCAGAAATAAAAAGCTGTACCAGATGTCTTGTCTTTAAGGAGCTATTTGTCTAATATAAAGGAATTTCTACAGTAATTTATTCTTATTCTTAATTACCAAATTAGGTGGTAAGAATGTATGAAATTTTGTTATAAACGTTAATGCAGCATGTTACCATGTTTTCCTTAAAAGTCTGGGCTAGGGTCCTATCCCTCTGGGTCAACTAGAGGCCAGTGCTCTCTGGCCACCTGTAAATTCTAGTATCTAATAGGGCTTTAAGAATTCTATCCTTCTCTGTCTTCTTTATGGAATTTGTGCTTTCTTATTTATGCACTTTGACTTCTAGGTTTTTAATTTTATGAACATAGTACTTTTTTTTTATTTATTTTGTTTTTTAGCTGACAATGGACCTTTATTTTATTTATTTATATACAGTGCTGAGAATCGAACCCAGGGCCTCACCTGGGCTAGACAAGTGCTCTACCACTGAGCCTGAATACAGTACTTTTGAGATTGACACAGATGTCAGAACAGTCATATTTGATCCTCTTGTGACTTAGTTGAAACACTTCATCTCATGACTGCTATTTGAAGTCTCCTGAAAAAAACATTAAAGTGAAAGTCAATAGAGCCAAGAATGTATTAAGATCTTTCATTTAAAATATGAACTCTCTTGACACAACCCTTTCTTCAAAATTTCCAGGAACTGCTCTTAAGTTATGGGCTCTTAATTTTTTTTCCTGATTAGTAGTAGGTGAAAAAGCTTACCTGTCAATTTTCCCCCCAAAACTATTTCTATAAAGGCAATGATTTGATGTAGAGGATCATATGATTTTTTTAAAAAACCATATGACTTTTTTAAAAAAACATATGATTTTTTTAAAAAACAAGGTTCTAGATTATAACAATGAAAAGAGTGCATTTCCTGAGCTACTTATTCAGTATAGTGAGCACTTTTCACCTTATGTATCCAATTCCTTATTTCAGACTTGCAGGCTCCTGTGGGAGCTGGTCCCACCCTTCTTCAATTCAGCACCACATGACCAAGGATTAATGTTTTCATTCACTCTGCCTTTTCTTACATTCCTCAACCATGTAAAAATCTCTTCCAGCTTAGTGCCTTTGATCTATGTATGCATCAGAAATCTTGGATCTCACTTCAGATCCCTTCTGCCCTGCCTTCTAGCCCTGCCTTCTACTCCAGCTGCTACTGTGGCCACTACTTCTATGAAGTCTTTGACCAGGTTCTCAGAATGTAATAGCTAGCGCTTCCCTTTGGATTCTGCTACATGCCTTTTGCTTTGGCTTCACTGTTGTCAAATGCCTAATTTTATAACACAGAAGTACAAGGGAGTTAGTTGCCCATGGGACACCCTTGACCAACAATGGAAAGTTGCCGATGGATGATTCCTCCTCTCATTCCCTGGGTAGATGATTCTGAAACACATTTCATAAAGCTCCTCAGAAGTCCTACAGAATCAACTACCAGTTGCCTATGGCCAATTTTGGAATGAACATTCTTATGTTGTCTTTCCTCTTTGGTTTTACTCTCATGCTTTCCTGCATTCTGGGATCATTTCCCAAATAAATGACTTTTTGATAAAATCTTCATGCAAGGATTAGCCTCAGGCTGTTTTCTTTCATGTTCTCTTACATGGCAAGGTGTGATTAAGGTTTAAGACCTTGAGATAGATGATTCTGGGTCTGGCAGAAGCAGCTCATTCTTGCCCAAAGACCCATCAAGCCTTCTAGTGAGGCAGCTGCCTCTGAGATTGGCCTCCACCAGATCCTCTTTCAATGCTTTTGTTATTCTCTACACCAAAAGCAAAGTGGGGTCTCAGCCCAGCCTTAGTGGAGAAATACAACCTACTCTCTAGGTGGAAATAGTGTAGACATTGAGGGAATTGCACAACCTGGAATCCAGGGGAAATGTGAGTTGACCTTGAGGTTGATGGGTAAGAGCTGGAAATGGAAGAATATAAGACTAGATACAGATTTATGGGCCAGGTGTGGTAGCAAATACCTATAATCCCAGCAACTCAAAGGCTGAAGCAGGAGGACTGCCAAGCTTGAGGCCAGCCTCAACAATTTAGTGAGGCCCTAAGCATCTTAGTATACATCTTGTCTCAAAAAGAGGTGGGGATGTAGCACAGTGATAGAGTGTGCCTGGGCTCAATCCCTAGCAAACACCCCCCCCCCCAAAAAAAAAAATGTTATGGGAATTTGGCTGACCACTTAAGAATGGAGGACATCTGAAGTTGGTCCTATTATATTGCTGGTTGGCTACTAAGGCTCACATGTGATTGTGGCAAACAGTAAATGAGATGGAGATGGTTGAACTACTTTGACATAGTACTGAGGAAAAGGTTGGGGAGTTTCAGGAGGTGGGAATATTAAGGATGGATTTTTTATGTGAGACCAAGCAGCCACCTGTGTTCCCTAGGAAGACATTGCCTTCACTGAGGTAATGCAGAATGCACAGGTGAGGGGTGCCCCCGCTCTGAAGAGCTCAGATCTGGCTGGCCCCTGCTGACGGGTCGTTAGTAGGAAATGCTGCTGTGAAACCAAACATGCTATTGCAGTGGAGACAAGGGATTCTAGAATTTTGGCAGAGAAGAAGTAAACATAATAAAATGGATAGTAAGATGAGTGGAAATTAAGATGCCTTGATCTCCAGGACTTTGTGCCAATGGCTAACAGTGTGGAATTCTGAGGGCCAGCTGATTACAGTGTTACTTATGTAACCAAAAACCGCAGGGAGGGAAGAAAAGCTGATGAGCAGATGGCTGAGGTAGTCTGTCAAAGAAAATCATGGTCCCTTATCCAGCTTCCTGATCTAAATCAACTTACAGATCTAGGGCACAATGAAGGGGAGGACTGGTCTACAGAAAAAGCCTCACTTCCACCAGTATATATGATGTACCCACTTAGGATTTCTCAAAGCCTGTTGAGTACTACTGTGGCTTTATATGCAGATGAGGGCTTATGGAAACCAGGTTATAAAGGGAGAGTTCTGGACATACTCTCTCAGAGTAAGTCTCACTTTAGGATTATTTCGCTAAATTCCAAGTATATATTTTGATGTATGGAGTAAGGGCTTTACGAGAGGAAGAGTCATGTGGAAACTTCTTCCTGGCCATGTTAATAAATTATGAGCAATCGCATTAAAAAATGCAGCCATCTGTGTCACCATCAAAAATGTTAAGAGATGCAGCAGTAATGGGCTCCATCATAATTTCATTTTACTTACAATCAGATTCCTGAAAACAAGCAGATGGATAATGGAGGATAAGGGTGCACTGTGTTAATCTCTGTCATAGCTACCATGCCAGATGCATCTTTACTGTCATTTGTCAGGCAGCTATTGAGTTGGCAAAAGCATCCTCATATTCTATCAGAAAGAAGTTCACATTACTTTGAAATGGACAGTGATTCTCATTTACTCTGTTTCCCCAAGGTGATGTTAAACTTCCTGCTCACTATATGGTCTAAAAGGGCCTTGATCATGTTGACATTCTGCAGAACATCCACTATATTATGATGAGATGCAAGGTGGATTTGGCTATTAGGAAGTGACAAGTACTCTAGATGCCCTGGTTACTTATGTGTGCCAAAGTATGGATGATAAACTATGAACAATCAGAGGCATGTCACATTGGTGTTTAGAGAACTAATGATCTGGTTCATATCAAGATATTCCTTCTACGGTAAAAAAGATTTCTTGCACCTTTCACCATTTAACACTGAGACAGATCAAGCATTTAGTAGGTTTCTGGATTGTGAAGACACATATGTTAAACATATTTTTCCAACCTATTTATCAGGACTGCCATTTCACAAAAGAAAGATCACAGCAGTTTCAGCCTTCAGCACAAACTGAGGTGACACTCAGGCTATGTACATGGTAGTTAAGAATATTGTGCATACTCTGGCAAGCCCTAGTGGAAGGTTACAACACAGGCCTGGGGGATCTGGGAGTAAGGACATGTCTTCTGTAACAGAGATGCTCAAGTCCCTGGCATAGTTCTGGGTCCCAAAGAGACTGTACACCTGATTAAGGGATACCAAGGAATGAAAAAACAGAACTGAGAGCCTATGATCTGGACATTATCAAATTCATAGGGCCATAAATTCAGATGGCACGCATTGATACATCATCATTGGAATATTAGAATTGACATCCATTCAGGATATGGTTTGTCTTTATGTCTATGGTGTATCCTCCAATACAATTGTGCTAAGACCTAGAGAATACTTAGTTTGTTGTCACAGTATCACACATAATATTGCCTTGAGGACCAATTTTTTTTTTTTAATAAATGAGGTGGGGCAATGGGCACGGGACCACAAAACTCCTTCGTCTACCGTATATCTCAGTGGGAAGCAACTGGTGTAAATAGAACAATGGAATGACTCAGCTAAGGCACCATATACTAGGCAGCAACCAGCAAAATTCTGGTACTATCCTCCAAAACTAAGCATTCATGCATTTGCAATGGCTCATATATGTCCTCCATCCTAAAATACACAGGTCTAGAAAACAATAGGTAGAAGTAGGATTGACCCATCTCACCATGACAGTCAGTGACTTGAAGACTTTATAACCTTTTCCTACAACCTTGGCTTGACTTGAGATTTTGGTTTCTAGGAGCCAGGGTGATTCTTCACCAGGGTACCAAGGATTCTAGTGAATTAGAACCTATGACTGTCACATGTTTGCTTGAAGCTCCCCACACCAGTGGACAAGCATGCAAAGAAAGGAGATATATTGGTGGGGATTATTGACTCTGATTATCATAAGAAGCTGAAGAGGAATATGTCTGGAATCCAAAAGCTTCACTGGTGTGTTACTTTGGGCCTTATGATAACAGTGAACAGGCAATGTCAGCAATTATAATCTGATAAGGACAAGGCAACTGAGGACTCAGATCCTTTGGTGATGAAGGTTTGGGTCACACTATCCAATCTAGACTAGCTGAAATGCTGGCCAAAGGCGAGGGAAAATTAGAATGGGTGATTGAAGAGGGAAAATGAGTCCAACTGCAGCCTTAGGACCAGCTTTAATAATGATTGTAGCTCAATGGGGGCTCAAAGGCCCTCCACAAGAAGCATCAGCATCACCTGGGAACTTGTTAGAAATGCAAATTCTCCCCTCACCCCCAGATGTACTGAATTCAAAAATCTGATGGCGGGGCCTCACAGTCTGTGGTTAAGCAAGCCCTCAGATGATTCTGATGCATTACAGCTTGAGAATCACAGCTGCAGATCCTACTAACCTACTGTATTAAGTCCTTCCAGATGCCACCCCTTTGAAGCACATGTAAAAGAGGGTGATCAGGGTGAGACATGGAGTGGGGGTGAGTTGTGTCAGCTTCTGTGAGCCACTTCAGGTTTTTCCCACCATGTTTCCTCCACCCACTAGACCAGACAGTGACCATTGCCATGCAGGTTTAGACAGCCTCATGCAGGTCCTACTTAGCTCTCCCTTGTTTCAGGCCAATGATGTGTAACTCACGGCTTCTCTAACATCAAGGCATGGGAGCCACAAGGAACACACTTGGCACTCACACAGCAGTATGAAATGCATGGCAGATGACACCATACACCCTGAACAGTGGTGGACAGGAGTCAATGGATAAGCTCTTTCCCCTTTCATACCCTGGGACCAGACACCCCGAGGATCCTGCAGGACTGAACACCAGTCACGTGTACCACTGGCCAACTTGATAATGTGTCTTCATATTGGCTGTACCTCTTTCACCTGTTCCTCACTCTGGTGCTCTGGGATCACTTCTCAAATAAATTACATAGAAGCCTTTGGGGTTAGGTTTGCTTTAGGGGAACCTAGTGTAAAACCTAGTGCTTTTGGCATTTTCCCAAGAGTCATGATTTTCCTCAGTTTTCACACTGTCACATACTCAAGAGTGGCCTTCCTAAAGACCTAATCCAAAGAAGCAAGCTTCTACTATGAGATCACCCTGTTTGAATTCTCCGCACAGCATCTATCACTATTTGATATTTTCTTTTTGAAAAACAAAGTTGTTGGTGCCTTTGTCCTATATTAGAATATGCTGGTCTGTCTTATTCTTTGCTATTTCATCAGTAACTTAAACAGTGCCTGGAACAAAATGAGCACTGAATAAATATTTTCTTGATTAAATGAAGAGTTTGAGAATAAGACAAGACCCCAACTCAATCCAGAATCTGGGCTAATAGACTTTTAGGAGAAAAAAATGCATACCTCAAATTTAAATTTATTTAAAAATTACAAAAATGTCTCCACCCAAGTTGTCCGTGAAAAAAATTTAAAAGCAGCAACAATGATCTTGGTTAATTCCCAGCAGTCTGATGTAACTTATAAAATCGAACAAAATTTGGATGTGTGTCTTATGCCTCTGTAGACACGGGACCCTTTTTTAAGGTCTCTTTCTTTAGGGTCTGGTAGTATGATAATTGGGACACTTTCCAAAGCCTTTTTCCTTTGCACTCTATGTAAAATGATTCTATAGACCCCTGTGATGGCGCTTCGAGCATCTCTTCCTTGGTTGTTTCGAATATGCTCTTCTGTGATACCCAAATGTTCTAAAGTGCTTTTCACCTCGTTTTCTTCTTCTTTGAGAGTGCTGGTTTCTGACAAGTGTTTAGGATCCAGTTGGAAAGGTTCCAAAGGAGTGGGGCATGGAACCCCTTGCATCCACTCATTGTTCATGATGTAGTTGATCCCATACCTCTCCGAGGGTACAGGCTGAAGAACTCCTCGGATGAGCCGGTGGCAGGGCTCTGACACGTGTGAGGGCACGCTGTAGGTGCCCTCGAGGATGCTCTTCTTCAGTTTGGCCACCGTCTCTGCCCGAAATGGCATTGTGCCTGTCACCATGAAATACAAAAGCACCCCCAAGGCCCAGATATCCACATAAACACCGATGTAGTGCTCATCGCGGAAAAGCTCAGGGGCAGCATAGGGAGGAGATCCACAGAAGGTGTTCAGCATTTCACCTTTTCTACTTACTGTGCTGAATCCAAAATCACCCACCTTCACACATGTGTTACTGGTATAGAATACATTCTCTGCTTTCAGATCCCTGTGAATAATTTGGTTTTCATGCTGTGGAAGGAGAAATGAAGAGAAGGAAAGTAAGTTTCAAAGTAAAATACCAAAATAAAAAGATGTCAGTTAATTTGAAACAGTGAGGTGATGGTGGTGTAATAACAGAAAATCAAGGGAGATCAACTTAAGTCATGTTAGTACTCTGTCGTAACCTCTAGACCAATGTAACACCCACACCTCCCAAATAGACCAAAGGCTCCATTCTTTCTTGGAGCATGGGTTGGAGTCTGTTCCACTCATGTGGACTCGGGAATCTATCCCAGAAATAAAACCCAGATCTTACAAAACTACACACTCTAAAACATAAGTCCTCCTTAGTTTTTTAGTCTTATCTGGGTTTTTCTGATGAAGAGATCTTTTGACTGGGGTCTCCAACTTCCTGACCATGTTCTTTGGGGAGACTCTTTTATTTCTACACAATTCAGTAGAAGGAAGGAGGCTGCATTTGGTGTTTGTAGCAACAGATCCCACTATGGGTTGTGAGTGTGAACCCCTTTCTACCCTTGCACTCTGGATCCAGGCCAATAATCTTCTCAAAACCCTTGACCTGTTTAATCCCGAGGGTTCTTGGGAAGTGGTTTAATGTTACTTTTCCCAACATAACTCTAGGGGTAAAAATCCAGATTTTTGAGGCTGACAGTCTGATCAGTTCTAGGTTAAACTGTATCAGCTACTTGTTATGAATGTCAGTTTCCTTCTTTGTAAAATGCCATACTGATAACCACCTCATAAGGCTGGGTGTGAGAACAGTATAAAATGCCATATCAACTGTGTTCAGTATGGTCCTTGCACATAAACAAACTCAATAAAATATTTGATTTTATTTATCTATGTCTTTGATTCACCTTTACTCTTTAGAGACCAGATTTCTGGGAGAAACAGCAAGGCATAGGGCTTCTGGACTCATGTCTGACCTACCACTGCTGGATTCCCTTCTGCTTTGCCACCAGATTTAGTAGTCGGTGTGCAAGTTGAGTTCCTCCCATGTGCCCAGCAATATGGTGAATAACAGAGCACAAAGAAACAACTCTCAGAGGAACTGGGAGAGTCCAGATTTATCTAAATAATCAAAGAATAAAATAAGAATGACATAATCATGAATGTGCTGGGACACAGAGGCAGTAAGAACTAGGTGCTCATTGAAGGCAAGAAAGTTCAGTGTGAATTGACATGAGACTGATGAAGCTAGTTTCAGAGACAGAACTAAGCTGGTCGTGAAGTGTGGCTAGGATTTGGAATGTGAGACATGAGAAGTGGGAAAAAGGCATCCTAGACAGGGTTAGGGTTGAAGACCAAGAAGCAGTGAGGAGCCAGCTATGCTGGTAGTAGAACATGAGGTTAAGAAATGGTAATGGCCCGTGAGGGGATGGTGTTCATTCAGTTATGCTGATTGACTCCTGCCAACTTTGGGAGAAGCCAAGAGGCTGTCATGTAAATGGAGACCCCTGGATGTTACAAGAAGCATGATCCCAGCCAGACTTCTGACCCTCACAGAATTCTCACAGCCCTGCAGGATGCTTAAATGATGGTAAACTAAAGTCCCATGTTTCCAATGCTGGTGGATATGGGGACAAGACTCTTGCCCCTGCTCACCATGTGCTTCACAGCAGACACAATCTGGGAGAAGATGAGTTTGCTTTCTGGTTCAGAGAGCTTCCCTTCAGTGCTGATTTTCCCAAAGAGTTCCCCGCCCCCTGCATACTCCATCACCAAGTGGAGCTTGGATAGGGTCTCCACGACTTCATAAAGGCGGATAATGTTGGGATGGTGCAGTTTTTCCATGCTGGAGATTTCACGGGAGAGTAGCCTTTGAGTTTTCTGGTCTAACTTGGTCTTGTCCAGGATCTTAATGGCCACCTTCTCTGAAAAAAAAAAAAGCCAAAGGATGTGACAGGAGAAATAGGTATTTATAACTGGAAGAATCCTAGATGGGCTCCTTTATTTTACTAGACAAAGAGGTTGAATGGTAGTTCTCAAGTCCACAGAGCTCATTGATGAGAAAGACAAAGCAACAAAGCAATTCTGGAGTTCAATTAGTGCTCTACTTAGATCTATGTGAGTCTTCCCCACACAGGTTTTAGTGACAACCACTGGCTCCCAAGAGAATTTTCAGTTGTGATTTTTTATTTGGCTTTTATAAATAAAGTAAAATCACCCTTGTTTAGCTCAGAGAGCCCTTCTTGATGGGACCAGCCTATCTCTTCAGCCTCATTGTCCACAATTCTGTCCATCATCCCCAACTTCCCTTATAACCTTTATTCCAACAATTACAGAGTTATGCCTGGGGCCTATCCTCTACCTGGATCATTCTCTCTGTCACTTCTTCCCTCTCTGCTCTTTACTCAGTTAGTTTCAGATGGTCTTTTAAAGACTACTTTCAGAATGAACTCATTCCAGGGAGTCTTCTATGACACTCATCCTAGGATGATCATGATATCTGGGTTCTGGGTACTCAGAGCTCTAGTGTACTCTACACTGGCCTATAATGTCGAATCCCCATCTTTCTGCCTCTCCCTGTGTGGACTATATTTTATTTGACCTTGTCAGAGACTGGTATGTATCAGAAGCAGTGCTCAGTGTTTGCTGAGGGTTGGTAAAGGCAAGAGGAAATTGGCTGGGGGGGATTAATTGGTAAGATGGTTCTGGGTTGCAGTTTGGTATTTTTATTGAAACACTTAAAAAATAGTTACACACTTTGACCCAGTCATTTCACTTCTAGCAATTAATCAAAGAAATAATCTGATGCATATACAAAGATGTATGCATAAGAAGATTTCTGTGATACTGAGAATAGAACAGTTTCCAGCAAGAGGTGGTGAAATTGACCAAATTATGTTGTGTACATATGCTAACATGTAACAATGAGTCACAGTATTATGTATAATTGTAATGTGCCAATAAAAATACAATTTAAAAAGAGATGTTAAAGGGGACATGGTTGTGGCTCAGTGGTAGAGCGCTTGCCTAGCATGCGTGAGGCACTGGATTCTATCTCTGGTACCATGTTAAAAATATATATATATATACAAAACATAAAATAAAATAAAAAGGGCTGGATATGGGACTCAATGGTTAAGCAACCCTGAGTATAATCCAAACCAACAAACAAAAGAAGAAGCTAGAAAGAGATGTTAGTGTGTAGTTCATTTACATTTATAATAGCACACAATGGTTGATCTTTTTTTATGATGTTTATTTTTATTGATATGAAAAGAGGTTACCTATACAATAGAGGAAAAATACAAATATATGTTTACATAGAAAAATATGGCAGAATATTCATTAAAATATTTATTTAAAAGAGTTACTTTCTAGTTGGGGAAGCACAAATGGTTTTCTTTAAAATTTGTTTTCGCTTATTGGTATTTTCTAATTTTTCTATAATAAATATAGATTGTGTAATGAAAATGGTTACTGTTAAAAAATGGATGAATTTTCCATGATAAAACATTCATATTTTGGTTCAAACTGGACCAGACTTTTTATTAGATAAGAAAAAAAGTGATCAGGCAAGTAAATAGAACAAGAGCACAGAGTATCTGTGACTATTTCCAAACAGCCTGCTGTAAAAAACTTTGGCACAGTGGTTGTCAGCATGAAGATAGATGCTACTAATTCAAAATAGGAGTGTTATCAGTATATTAAAGGGTGTAGCTCAGGAGTACAGCACTGACCTTGCATGAGCAATTCCCTAGGTTTGATTCCCTACACCCCCCAAAGAAGGTCCATTTGGGCTTCTGGAATTGAAAGAGGCTGGGTTCACTGGTGTCTGATGTGGCCAGCCCACTCTTGGTAGAGGCAATACTGTGCAGTAAGGAGGCAAATGATAAAGGAGCATAGCACCCAGTGCTTAGGTCACTGGGGCTGGCAATCAGCCCCAGGAAACAGATCTCCCAGTGTCAATCCTTGGGACATTCTTCCTCCTTGGGCATATCTGTTCTGCTTTTCAGTCCTGAGGGTTAAGATTCCCTTCAGTTGTTTACCTGAACCACAAGTTTCTCATCTGGTATAGCCTGTTGGATGAACTGTTTTTATAAGAACTAGAATAATGAATTCCATCCTTCGATTTCATATACTCCCTGGAGAATGTGCCCTCCTTGGTTTTCCCCATTGTTGACTCAGACTTTGTTACAGCTTGTTGCTTCCTCACTTCATGGAGCAACTGTGCAGTTGTAGGTGTACACGGTTCAGTTGGCAACGGGTGTCAGGCCTGCCTTTAACACAATCCTAGTGTTTTATTTCCCTTCCCTTCCTCTCCCTTTGATTTTCATGGCTCTTAGCAAAGCCCCCCTCCCTACCCAGTCACCCCATGGATCAGGACAAGAGTGAGGCAGAAGGGTGTTATGAGAGTCGGTGCTTCCTTAAATTCTGCTCCCGAGGCACCGTGATCACTTCCCTTCACATTAAATCATCTTATATCCATGCCTTATAGCATAACTGCCTATTTAAAAGTCCTGGTATTCCAAATTGTTGCTCAGTGGTAAAAACTGCCACTCCACGAAGAACTAGATTTCCAAATCTATTCTTTGAACACACATTCAGTCAGCAGGTACTATGCACCAAGCACATGCACTGGGAAGACACACATTGTTCTTACCATCCAGTGGGAAAGAAAGACTTTAAAAAAAAAATCCTTATGATATGTGTGATAGATGCTAGGAAGGAATATGGATAAAGAATGGAAAGGCCTCCTTAAGTAAGGACACCAAAGCTGTGATCAAGAGGTGAGGGGAGAAGTCTGTGGGGATGGCATGAGTGACAGCCTGGGTGAGATGCAGCATTTGTGCTTGAGGACCTGAGAGAAGCCTGCTATGCTGAGAAACATAGGCAGAGTCAGATAACCTGCTTCAGGAAATGCTGCCTTTATCTTTATGGTAATGGAAACCTAAGGTTTGAAGGGAGAGTGTTGTGATCTGACGGCCATTTTTAAAGAGCGGGCTGGCTACAGTGTGGGAGGTAGGTAGAGCAGCAGCTGGCCTGGGAGCAGGGTAGTTGTTCACAACATGGTTATCACAATCCTGAGGACCCTCTTGATAGTGGCAGGAAACAGGGAAGGAAGTAGACAGATTTCAAAAGTCAACTCTCCTTTCTCACATCTTATGAGGTGACTGACACAGGTCCCACCTAGTGGGCAACACATTATTTAAACCACACTTGCAAAGTCAATAAGTCCAGAGGCCAGGTCGTAAGAGCAGAGCGGGCTCATTTAAGCAGCAGGGAGTTAGTGGAAACTTGAGGGTCCTGAGGTGCACCTGACCTGATATGAAGGGACAGCTGCTACTCAAGTCCAGAGATGATGGTTACTGTTGGGAATGTAGACCTGGTACTGTGAAATCTTCCAATTTTTATTGTTTAGAGAGAGCGTGGACATCTGAAATTTTCTGCAAAAGCTTCCAATGAATAAGTACCCACAACAAATTCAAATTTTCAAGCCTAGATTAGACCAAGCAAAATATGTACATAGAACAAGGGATTAGGGGTATGAACAGATATTAGAACCTAGAAAGTGTGCTGTGTAGCTAGGCATGGTGGTGCACACCTGTAATCCCAGTGACTCAGGAGGCTGAGGCAGAAGCATCACAAGTTATTTTAAAAAAAATTTTTTGTAAGACATTTCTAAACACTACCCTAATATATGTATATTTATCAATAAATTGTAAGCATGTACTACTAACATACACTTTAAATATGCATAATCACTGAAATAAAATGATACAATTACAAATAAATAAAAATGGAAGTACTAGTTTCCCCCCTCATACCAGTGAACCATCTTGGGCACCTCTGGGGTATATGGGAGATGAAGGAAAATATAAGCCAAGCTGATGCTGGAGATTGGCCAGGGCCAAGGTCTTGGGGGGGTCACATTAAGACCTCACTTGAGGACAGTGAGGGATCACTAGAAGGTTGTAAGTCGGGTGTTTTAGTCAACTTTTTTGCTGCTGTGATTAAAAGATCTGACAAGAACAATTTTAGAGGAGGGAAAGTTTGAGGGTTCACAGTTTCAGAGGTCTCAGTCCATGGACAGCCAGCTCCATTTCTCAGGGACTGAGGTGAGGAAGAACATCATAATGGAAGAGTGTGGCAGAGGGAAGCAGCTCACAAGATGATCAGGAAGCAGAGAGAGACTCCATTGGTTAGATACAAAATATATACCCCCATGCCACGCCCCCCAATGCCACCTCCTCCAGCCACACCCTACCAACCTACAGTTACCATTCAGTTAATCCCTATCAGGACATTAATTCACTGATTGGGTTAAGACTCTCACAACCCAATCATTTCTCCTCTGAACCTTCTTTCATTGTCTCTCAGCCTTTGGGGAACACCTTGCATCCAAACCATAATACAGGGCTAAATGGGCAGGCTGGCCTTTTCTAAAAGATCCCTTCTGGCTGCAGTGGGGGGAATGATGTAAGTGTGGATGAAGAAGATGAGTTACAGTGGTTTCATCCAACTAGGCAAAGATGAGATATTTAGAAGATAATATCAATAGGACCCGGTGTTTGGCTGTTGGGGGCCAAAGAAGAGTTCAAGATTTCTAGGTTGAGCAACTCCAAGGATGGTGGCATTCAGTGGAGGAGTGAGCAGATCTTAATTTCTGTCATCACAGTTCTGCACACTCCTTCAATTCCCCTGCCTCCTCTCACCTTGTTGGGGTCACTCAGCTAAACAACAAACCTGGTTAAATCCAGCTTCCCACCTGCTCACTGTCGGCACCCATGCAGCTGAATATGACCACGTGTCTCACTTTGCGTGAATGATCACTCACCTCTGGGCAGATGTACTGTTATCTCCCTAGTCCAATAACCTTCCTACACTTCCAAATGCCTCCTTAATGGCTTTGTCTCCCATCAACTTT